GGGGAAAGTAGGTCAGAAGCTGCATATTCAATTCAATTTTATTTATATAGCGCCAAATCACAACAACAGTTATCACAGCGCTTTTCATAAAAGAGCAGGTCTAGACCGTACTCTGATGATATTTACAGAACCCAACAGTTCCCACCAAGAGCAGCACTAGGAGACAGAGGCAAGGACTTCCTTTTAAGAGGCAGAAACCTCGAAGAACCGTGACTCAGGGTGGGCGGCCATCTGCCTCGACCGTTGGGGTGAAGGAGAGAGAGAGAGAGAGAGAGAGAGAGAGAGAGAGAGAGAGAGAGAGAGAGAGAGAGAGAGAGAGAGAGAGAGGCAGCCTACACAATATACACACAGAGGTACAGACAGTGAAGGTGATGTTGCTATAGACTAAATGAAAATGATTTATAGTAGTGTTAATGGTAACAATCGTAATGTTAATGATTATAATAACAATAATAACAATAGACTAGCAACAATAGTCGTTGTAGCAGAGGGTGTCGAGCAGGAACACGGGGGCAGCAGGTGACCCGCAGCCACAGATCCAGACTCCACAGCTCCAGAGCCAGAAAACCTGCAGGAAGTGACAGGAGGAGAGAGGAGAGGGACGAGAAAGCACAAGACTACCGGAAAGGGGGAAGTTGTGTTAGTAACATGCAATAATGGGATAAGGTTGCATACAGAGGGAGAGAAAGTAGAGGAGAGAGGAGCTCAGTGCATCACGGGAAATCCCCCGGCAGTCTAGGCCTATAGCAGCATAACTAAGGGATGGTTCAGGACTCACCTGAGCCAGCCCTAACTATAAGCTTTATCAAAGAGGAAAGTCTTATACCTACTCTTAAATGTGGAGATGGTGTCTGCCTCCTGAACCCAAACTGGAACCTGGTTCCACAGGAGAGGAGCTTGATAGCTGAACGCTCTGGCTCCTAGTCTACTTTTGGAGACTCTAGGAACCACAAGTAACCCTGCATTCTGGGAGCGCAGTGCTCTGGTGGGGTAGTAAGGTACTATGAGCTCTTTAAGATAAGATGGTGCCTGACCATTAAGAGCTTTGTAGGTAAGAAGAATGATTTTAAATTCTCTTCTGGATTTTACTGGAAGCCAATGCAAGAAGCTAAAACAGGAGAAATATGATCTCTTTTCCTGGTTCCTGTCAGAACACGTGCTGCAGCATTCTGGATCAGCTGAAGAGTCTTAATGGACTTTTTAGAGCAGCCTGATAATAAGGAATGCAGTAATCCAGCCTAGAAGTAACAAATGCATGGACTAGTTTTTCTGCATCATTTTTAGACAGGATGTTCCTGATTTTCGCAATATTACGTAGGTGAAAAAAGGCGGTCCTTGAAATTTGCTTAATGTGAGACTTAAACGACATGTCCTGATCAAAGATAACTCCAAGATTCCTCACAGTGGTGCTGGAGGCCAGGGCGATGCCATCAAGGGAAACTATATCTTTAGATAATGCATCACGGAGGTGCTTGGGCCCCAGAACATAACTTCAGTTTTATCTGAGTTTAACATTAGAAAATTGCAGGTCATCCAGGTTTTAACATCCTGAAGGCACATTTGAAGTTTAGCTAACTGATGAGTTTCATCTGGCTTGATCGATAGATATAACTGAGTATCATCTGCATAACAATGAAAGCTTATGGAATGTTTCCTGATAATATTGCCTAAAGGAAGCATATATAAAGTGAAGAGGATTGGTCCGAGGACAGATCCTTGAGGAACTCCATGAGTAACTTTGGCATGCATGGAGGACTCATCGTTAACATGTACAAACTGAAATCAATCTGATAAATAGGACTTAAACCAGCTTAGAGCGGTTCCTTTAATGCCAATGAAATTTCCAGTCTCTGCAATAGGATCTGATGGTCAATGGTATCAAATGCAGCACTAAGATCTAATAAAACCAGTACAGAGACAAGTCCTTTGTCTGATGCAATAAGGAGGTCATTAGTAATTTTCACCAGTGCTGTCTCTGTGCTATGATGAGCTCTAAATCCTGACTGAAAATCCTCAAACAAACTATTGCTCTGTAGAAAGTCACACAGCTGTTTAGCAACTGCTTTCTCCAGAACCTTAGAGAGAAATGGAAGGTTAGATATAGGTCTATAGTTGGCTAAAACATCCGGATGGGCTTTTTCAGAAGAGGTTTAATTACAGCTACTTTAAAGTACTGTGGTACATAGCCTGTTGATAAAGATAGATTGATCATATCTAGTATAGAGGTGCTGACTAAGGGTAAAACATCTTTAAGCAGCCTAGTCGGGATGGGGTCTAAGAGGCAGGTTGATGGTTTAGATAAAGAAATTATTGAAGTTAGTTGGTAAAGATTGAGGGAAGCAAAACAGTCTAAACATATATCTGGTTCTACAGCTGTTTCTAAGGTTCCTGAGTTAAGAGATAAGTTGGTGCCAGTTGAGGGCAGGTCTTGGTGAATTTTGTTCTAATAGCTAGAATTTTATCATTAAAGAAGCTCATGAAATCGTAACTACTGAGAGCTATGGGAATACTTGGCTCAATAGAGCTGTGACTCTCTGTCAGCCTGGCTACAGTGCTGAAAAGAAACTGGGTTGTTCCTATTTCCTCTATTAATGACGAGTAGTACGCTGCTCTGGCATTACGGAGGGCCTTCCTATAAGTTTTAAGACTATCTTGCCAAATTAAATGAGAATTTTCCACTTTGGTGGAACGCCAATTCCTTTCAAGTTTCCGCGATATTTGCTTTAATTTGCGAGTTTCAGTGTTATACCATGGAGCTAACCGTCTTTGTTTAAGTATTTTCTTTTTTAGAGGGGCTACAGAGTCGAGTGTCATTCGCAGCGAGCCTGCAGCACTATCAACAAGACGATCAATTTGGGAGGGACTGAAATTAGCATAGGAGTCCTCCGTTACTTTGTGACTTGATAATGAATTTAGAGCTGATGGAATTACATCCTTAAATTTAGCTACAGCACTATCAGACAGAAAAGTATAAACTCCCGCTCACTGTCTAACTTGCAAAATATATTTCTATGCAGGCAATGTTTCGTTACTGCCTTTGTCAGGCAAATGGTGTTACATCCTGAGAAGACAAACTTTGTAGGAAGTGACATGTTTGTCTGCACCAATCACCTACTTACACATGAGATAAGACAACATTACAAAACATTCATTCACATTTCCATTACTATCGAGCTTAAGCTTGAATACAAACACTGTCACTATAGTAAAAATAATATATCGCCCAGAGAGAAAACAACTGTTGTCACCTAACAACAAGTTGTATGTTTTTCCACACTTCACCATCGTTAGAGCATGACGTTATTATCTGTGTGATTAGCTCTCTAGGCAGCTGAAAACTTTATTTTTTTTTTCCTATTTAAGATGTCTGCTCTCTGCGTTTAGTTTAGTTTTTAACTGCTGCTCTTTGGACACAAACTCCTCTCCAATCTGATGATATTTGTTGCTCTGTGTCTGCTGGATGTGGAAGTAGCCGACAGTTTGTTCACATGTTTGGCACAACAGCTTCATAAGGTGATGATGTCTTCGCATTTTAGTCAGTAAGGGAAATGTGATCATGCTGTATATTTAAATAGCAGCAACCGCCAGTGTTCATTAACCACAGGATACCAAACAAAATGGGGTTTACACATGCAGGCAGCTGAGTTTCTTTTCTCACCTCAGAATGAAACAGTGTTGGTTTGTTCAGTCTCTTCAGTCTGTAGGAGGATGAGGATGAAGATCTACAGCTGGCTGTTAGTCTTTATCCTGGGCTGTAATGTCAGCGCAGGTAAGAATTTTCTTTGTCAACGAGTATGAACTATTTTATAAACACTACCTGTTAACCAGCAGTGAAGCTGCTGCTCTGCTGATACAATGATTTTATAATATTAACACAGCTTAATGTATGTAATGTATTAACAGCTTTATTCATTCATTTGAATCTTAATATGGAATATCTCAACAAATATATTTCACAATCCTGACAAAAATGTGGTCATGGCTTTGTAAATGAAATTGTAGATGGATTAGAAACATATTAGATTTAAATAAAATTTCTCACCAATCCAGGAAGAGGACAGTCAGATGTTTGGTGGAGAACAGCTGCCTTCTTCAATGTGTTTCCACTGCATTGGACATATTGATGTTATTCTGTCTCTAATGGTGAACATAGATCAGAGTTGCTCAAAATAGCAGAAATACTGCATCTCTTAAAACAGGTAAATTTATTGAAATTTTTCTTTTACAGAGAAAAAGCATAAAATAATCAGGCAGAAGGACTCCGTCACTCTGCCATGTCCTCACCCTGTGGAGGGTAAAGTGACTTGGAGCAGAGAGAGAAACGGAAACAGAGTTGACATACATACAGTTGATGGAGACAGAGACATAAGACACATTCATGACCCACTGAAACGATACAGTTCATCAGCAGATAAGTCACTTCACATCAGCAGAGCTGCCGTCTCAGACGCTGGAACATACTTCTGTAATAATGAAGCAGCTGTGAGCTGACGGTGCTCCAAGGTAACATGTTCTGTTTTCACTATGAATAAATAAGTTTCAGTTTATCCTTTTGTTTTTAATTTTGTTAGTTTAGTTAATTACGTGTAGTAAGTTGGGGAGTGGTTTTAGTTTTGAGTCTCAACAAAATGGACGTGGTGTAGTTCGTTTTTCAATCACGTGAATCATTTTGTGACGTATTAAAGATGTTGTAATATCTATTTCTGTAAGGAGAGCTGAAGAGAGAAGGAAACTTTTTTTAAACTCTACTTAAACTAAAAATAAAGCCGTAGAACAGAGCCTTTCTCAACAGTATGTTGTTGTGATGATTCAGAACGTGCAGGTTCTGACCCAAAAACACAACCCAGAGCAAAGAAAATATAAAACTTCAGCTTTACTCTTTGGCACAAAACACACACGTCAGTGTAAAAACGTTTCTTTGTTAAGTGTTCACACCCCTGAACTCTCAGCCGTGGCCTTGGTGTTAAGATTTTAATGAAAACAAGTGACATAAATTGACGTTACTTATTAACTGTGTTCCCGTCAAGCTCCATCGATTGGTAATCTGTAAAAATCAGCTAATGCAGAACAGGTTTAACTTTGATACTACAGGCGTATATCACATTCCCTTTCAGCTCATGGTTTACCATTTACAATATGTAGTAGAGTAAAAGTATGAACTTTACTACTGTGCTGTAGAATGTGGAAAGCAAACCTCAGGAACACATTTTTTCAGATCGACAGACGAACAAAATGCTGAATTAGAGAGTGCACTGAGTTACAGAGGCTGGACATGTCGTGGCATCAGCTCTAAATTGTTTCCTCCATCCTTCACTAAAGGTCGTAAGGAACCAACAACAACAACAACTCCTCCACCTCTAACAAGACAAACCACATCTGAACCTCTTCCAGCAGCAACAACTGCACCATCCACACCTCTAGTAAACACAGGTATGATGACATTAAAGAAAAAAAGTTTCACCAAACAACCCAAAACCATGAGAAGAAGATGACGTAACTGGCGACCTGTCCAGGGTGGACTATCTTAAAACTCAAAAGCACAATACACTGACACATTGATCGTAGAGTAGATTTAAGTTCATTTAAACTAATAAATGAAACAACACAATTTATATTGTGAGAAAAAATGAACATGTACCAAATGTATTTACACAGATTTCCTGCACTGTTACCTTTTTTAACATACATTTTATATTACACAGTTATGCATAAACAATTATGTAACTTTATTAGAACATAAAAATACATGAGGCAAATAAACAATAGAATAGAAAAGAAACAACTTCATGTTTAAATATTCCCACATTATCACACTCTAGAATCAAAACAGCGCGACAAACAGCACATGCTCTGTCTGGAAAAGCGGCATCATGTTAAAGTTAGCTAGTTATAGTCAAGAGATTACCTCCTGGCTATACAACACATAAAATAAACGGTTAACTTAAAAAATACAGCTAGCACATAAAGCTAGCTTAACTTAACTTAACATTGTTTAGTCCGCGGACGCCTTTCCTAGCAGCAAAACCTCCGTTGCTTTGAGGATTATCCACAATCCTTTGTAATTAAGTAAAGTAAGTAAAATGTATTTAATATAGCACCTGTCACAGAGCAAGTCACAAAGTGCTTTACAAAAAAAACTAAAAAAACAATACAAAACAAAAGCAACAATAAAACAGTGAGCAATCAGTCATAAATAAGCATCAAAATTATAAAGGCATCAGTCAATATAACAATGTGATTGTGTTGAAAGACGCATAAATAATCAAATTAAGGCATTTTGTATTTTAAAGAGACTACTTCACAGTTAAAAGTTTACAGGGAGACAAAAGGCTGTTTAAATAAAAAAGTCTGAGACCTGAGAGCGTAGGTCTGAGGGAAGAGTATTCCACAGTGTTGGTGCAACCACTAGTTTTTAGACGTGTACGCGGTACAGCTAGTTGGCCTTGGTCTGAAGATCTTAAAGGCCTAGTGGTAAAATACGGGTGCAGCATGTCTGAGATGTACCCGGGTCCCTGATCATGCAGCGCTCTGTATGTTAAAACAAGCACTTTGAATTGAATCCTAAATTTAACAATGACCCAATGTAAAGAGGACAGAATGGCTGGACCTGGTCAACAGCCTTGCAGCAGCACTTTGGACCATTTTTAAACAGTCCAGGGACGACTTGCTAAGAGATGTAAAAAGGGAGTTGCAATAATCTAAGCGGGAGGAAATAAAAGCTGGATTATTATCTCAAACTCTGGTTTTGAAACAACAGATTTGAGCTTGGCAGTGTTTCTTAAATGAAGCAAAAACACATGTTAACATTTCGATCAAAGTGCATTGATGTGTCAAACATTACATCCAGATTTCTATGATTTGATTTTACTACTGATGAAAGTGATCCAGTATGCTGAGTGATCGAGGGAGCTTTGCTATCGGGTGCAACTATAAGGACCTCAGTCTTGTCTGTGTTCACTTCAAAGAACTTTTTAGCCATCCAGCTTTTAACGGCGGTGAGGCAGTTGCATAGTGTGGTCAGTTTGTCATACTCATCTGACCCTAAAGAGACATACAGCTGGATGTCATCAGCATAACAGTGATAAGAAATGCCCTTGAAATTACTAATAATGTTGCCTAAAGGGAGCATATACAATATAAATAAAATCAGGCCCGAACCCTGTGGCACACCACAGGATAGAGCAGCAGTTTTGGAGTAAGTTCCCAGTGTCATTACTAACATCACTTGACGCAGGTACAACTTATAACAGAAGGTGGCAAAGATGTCTCATTTAGTGGGATTTAATCTGCATTTATTTAACTTTGTTTCACTAAAAAACAGACACAGAATACAGAGCCTTCCCCAACAGTCTGTTATTGTAATGATTCAGAACATGCATGAAAAATATGGCTGACAGTGACAAACTAATGTTTCTTTTTGGAATTTTATGGATATGGATAAAAATAAAGTTAAGACAAAGTACCGGCCTGCCAGACTTGTACATTCCCCCCTATTTTCACAAAGTCGTTGTTATAATCACAAAGGTTTCAGTTTCTAATAGTGAGTGTAGTTGTGGAGCTGATTTGTCTGAGAAAGTGGAAAGTAAACATTGGGAACAAGTTTTTTCAGCTCGACAGATGAATGAACTGCATTGAGTTACCGTGACTGTAACACCACCTTCTTCCCAAGTAAAACAAACCATGTCTGTTTCTCTTCCAGGTGCTCTTTACCTGTGGTCGTCTGTTCATATTGCGGTTGGAATACTCTGTTTAATCATCATACTCAGCATCACTGTCACTTCCTGGAGAAAAGGTGAATATAGTTTGACCTGCAGGTGGTTTTGTGGTCTGAAACTATTCAGCAGTTCTGTATCATAATCTCAAAGAAGATTTTAAAATCTGAAAAATAACAATTTTCATATTGAACAACTAGCAAGCCCTCACAGTGTTTATCATGTTGCTGTAGCGCCACCTACAGGTAAATGTCATCAAATTGACCAGCACAGTCACGTCATCTAAAATTGAAGAATTAGTACAGTTTATGTCAGATACGCCAAATAGTAATAAAACGTTTTTCCAGGCTCATCTAAGTATTATATGTTTCAGTTTGTGTGTGGTACAAAATCAGGGTAAAAGAGGGGAGATCACAGCTCAGGAATTATAACTCTAATGTAAAGTGCTTCAGAGACGGCCACATGGTGGCACTGTTGCTACTATTAGATCTGCACCAAAAGTAATCACTTGTCCCAACTTTCTACCAGGTGTCATTGAAACTGAAAAGTCTTCTTTGAGACATTCTGCTAACAAACAAACAGAGTTGCAAGTCACTGATAACCACAACACGTTACTAATAATTACCATAAATACAATGTTTTAAATGTTGAAAAGTAACAACAGAAGTTAATAAAATCATCTCCATGTTTATCTTCTCTCTCTTGCAGCTCGACAGACACAGGGGCAACACACAGCAGCAACAGAAAATGATCCTCCATCACACGAGAGCAGTAACTGAGCCGTGTTCAGCGTTCATCCTCAGACAGTCTGACAGTAAAAAGTCCTCCAGCTTTCAACACTGTGACGACTAGTTTCCCCTTTTCAGGAAAGTTGGGATACTTTCCAAAATGCAATAAAAAGAAAGATCTGAGATTTGTAAATTCACATGAACCTTTAGTTTCAACACTTTTACTGACCAGGGTAATTGTATTTTGAAAAAATAAAAACAAATTTCATGCATGCAACATGTTTCCCAGTGTGTTACATCACCTTTCCTTTTAATTACACTTCTAATAATTTGCGAAGTGAAGATAGGCCTACTAATGTGCCGGTTCTGCAAGTGGAATTTTTGCTCATTCTTGCTTGATACAAAACTTCAGCTGCTCAACAGTCTGTATTTGTCCTTGTCTCATTCTCCTCTTCATGAGGTGCCATACATTTTCAATAGGAGGCAGATCTGGGCTGGCAGTAGGCCGGTCGAGCACTCTGTGTCTACGAAGCTGCGCTGTTGCAGCCCGTGCAGAAGGAGGCCTGCACTGTCCTGCTGACATGGATGTCCCTGCAAGAGATGTCAACTTGATCTGTCTCTAAAATCCCAAAATATGCCTCTGCATTAATGGTACCTTCACAGACATGCAGGGGCACTGGGCACTGATGCACCCCCATCACAGATGCTGCTTCTGCACCTTTCGCTAAGAACTATCTGGATTGTCTTTTCCATCTTTGGCTTGGAGAACTTGATGTCTCTTTTCATCACGATCCTACGCAGGAGGATAAATCAAGCTTACAGAAATGAACGTTCCAGAAAATGAGCCCCATGAGGCTGACGCTATTGTGGTGTTACCTGGTGAGTGAAAGCAGCATTTACCTTATCCTGCCTTAGGCTACATAACCTTGACAGTGGTTTTGGTTTTGGAAGAGTGTGAGTGTTGTAGTCAAGACCGCCCAAACCGAGACAAGACCAAGACTTTTAGGGGCTGAGAGCAGTCGAGGGCGAGACCGAATCAAGACCAAGACCAGTTCCCTGCATTGCATGGCACTCAACAAAATGTGGAACACGCCCATAGGTAGCTCTCAAAGTGATCTGAAAGATCCACGTTCCCATTAAAACCCCCACATACAAACACTAAGAGCTGAAATCAACATACACATCGTGGGGAGCTGTGACAGTCGTTAACGGGAACAACACGTTTAATTAGGGTTATTGGCTGCATTTGAAGCAATAAGTTTTACTTCCAATCAAAGTTAGGATGTTAACAAATCAGACAATGCAAAAGCAATTTATTGATATTCCCAAAGTTACGGTATTGACTGGTCTTGAAATAAAATCCTGAGTCCTCAAGACAGAGTACAAAGGCGGTCGAGTCTGAGACAAGACCATCAAAAAGTGGTCTTAAGACCAAGACCGGTCTCAAGTACTACAACACTAGATAAGTGTGCTTGAGATGTGGACCACTTTTTGTGTCCTCACTGTTAATAATATTCTGTGATGACTGAGTGTTGCCTATGTTCATTGTTATTACTGCCACTCAGCTTTCCATTATTGTTAAGAATAGTTGCAACTTACACTCTTAAATGTGCATAGAAAATTTATGTGTAAGCAGCACTTGGGCTTATGTTCATTGTCTGTTGCCTGTAAAGTTCCTCTCCTCCCTTGTGATGTTAATCCATAAAAACAATTGGTTATGTAATGTATTTTCTTCACATCTTGTAATGTTACAATATTTGTTAGTTCAATGTTAATTTTGAATGAAATATTTTTCTGTTTCTTACAAGTTTGGCACCACCGTCAGATGGAGTGAAGTTGTTTTAAAAACCTCTCTATAAAATTGTTGCATTTTCAAAGTTTTCAAAAGGTTTCAAAGATGTAATTTTAAAGTATCTCTGTTCATTATGGAGACTAAATGCTAAATTGGTTAATCCACAGAACTTAAACCCATTGAACACTGACTAATCTAACTTTTAAAAGGTGATATGACTCATTTAAAAATGTGTATATTATTAGCAGAACCAAGAAACAGCGTCAAAATATCTGTAATAATTAAATTCAATGACATTTCTATGTTTCTGATGGTGTTGACAAAAATCTAGTGCTGTTCCTGCAAACATGTAATTAATGAAGAAAATTGTGGTTGTTCCAAGACATGGTTACACAGCCAAAGCCTCATTTAGCAAAGATGCATACATAGTTTTTTTTTTTTTTTTTAAATAATCAAGATTTTATTTTAGAAAATCAAAACCAGTTTTGTTCCTAATCTCAAGAATCACTGAAATGTATTTGCCATGGTTTCTTTCATTAATAAAAGCATAAATACAGTACATGTAATAGTTTTCTTTGTACACATATAAGATATGATGCTTCTACCCTCCACATGTACCTGTTTCCTTTTAAGTGTGTTTTCAGAAGCCACAACCAAATGACACAAAGACATGATTTCCCAAAACCTTCTCGGCCCCAACTTGACACATATGGACGCTTGGTAGAGACCCCTCAGGCTTCACTTTTGCACATGTAGGGCTCCGTGGTCAAGTTAGCAATAATAAATAGGCAACGTCTGTCACGAGTTTGTGGTGAAGGCAGGGTGGAGCAGGTTGGAGGACCCAAACGCAGGAAGAGGTATAGTGCAAAGGGATTTTAATAAACGAACCAAAAGAGAGCACACTTACAGGTGAGTGGCTGAATACAGTGTCCCAAAACAAAGGCTGTCCAACAGAAATCCAAAAGGGTGAAAACCAGAATCCAAAACAGAGCAGGGTTACAGGGAGACACGGTGAGTAAGGCTGGAGACACGAGACACACTGCTACACAGGGTGACAACATACAATGACCCGACAAAGACAAGACAGAAACACCAGGTATATATACACACACACACACACACACACACACACAGGGACTAACGAGCAGGGCGGGAGCAACACAGGTGAAGGACATGAGATTAACAAGGCAGGCAGAGAGAGAGAGGTTGAATAGAGAGACTGACATGCAGGCAGAGTGACAACCGGGGGAACAGACGGAACACAGGTTACTGAACACAAACCAGACCAGAGTGAACACTTAACATGAACTAAGGTACAGGACTGGGAACAAGGACAAAGAACTAAAACGCAGGAACAAGAGTTAAGGCAGTGACTAAGAAACCATATAACAAGTAGACTACCAAACCAATATCAAAACACAGGACTACGAGCTAGAACACCAGACAAGACATAAACACTAAGGACAAGGAAACAAGAAGAACAGGTAAACAGAAGGACACCAGAAACAAATGGCAAAAACTACAACTCATGACAACGTCTTTATTAAATTAAAGGAGTGACAGGGAGACCTGCATTGGGAGAGTTCAGGCGTCTTGCTGGTGTTTATGGTGTAATTAGCTCAGACAGGTAAGGTGGTGCAAGTTGTAAGTTAAAAGACAATCACATTGCCGTCCCCCTGCTCAAACTCTAGGCCTGTTGCTGGCCCCCAGTCTAGTTGCCCTTTTGCCTTGTCTCTGGTCCCATACTCCAGCCGTCAGCCCGGAGTCTGAGTGTTTGAAAAAATATGCTATTAACATTTGTCATTTCAGCCCACAAAATCATTGGCACATTTTGACTCATTTGAATAAAACCATTATTAAAGTTAAACAATTTAGAAATAAAAAACTTGACAGATGAAAATACATGACACCTGTGCTTCCTGGCTTTCTTCCACAGTATTCATGTGGACTTCAAATGCCTTAAAAGGAGACTGTGACATGCAGTCATCTTTCTGTGGTCACATTTTGCAGCCAGTTTAAAGACAAACACCAAGCAGTTCTCAGCTAACAACAAGCAGGATGTTGTCCCACAGGTCGCCATCATTAGATCGTGACGTTATTGTCAGTGTGGTTAGCTCTCTATGTGTAAAGGTGGTTTTCCTGTTTAGCATCTCTGCTCTCTGCCTTTTTCAGCTGTTATGGACACAAACTCCTCTCCAATGGGATGCTAATGTTGCTCTGTGGAAGTAGTCGACTGTTTGTTACCATGTTTGTTATAACAGCTTCATAAGGTGATCATGTCTTTGTCTTTTAGTCAGTTATTTCAGGTTCTTTCTTGTACTGGCACAGAATTAATTGTGAGGGAAGTTTGATCATGCTCTATATTTAAATAACCTTAACCATCAGTGGGCATTAACCACAAGAAGACAAAGACGATAATGTCCGGTTTACACATCCTTTTCTCAGAATTAAACAGTGTTTGTTCGATCAGTCACTTCAGTCTGTGTGAGGATGAGGATGAAGATCTACAGCTGCCTGTTAGCCTTTGTTCTGTGCTGTAATGTCAGCGCAGGTAAGAACTTTACTTAAGTTTTTTATTTTATCCAGCAGTCATGTTCAAGCTTCTGCTCTGCTGATATAATTATTTTAAAATGTTAATATTAACGCAGGTTAATGTCAACAGCTCTGCTGTGCATTTGGCTGCTGAACACTTGCGCTGAAAATGACCGATCTGGCGTGGGGACCCGCTCTTGACCTAGGGACATGGGGACTCGGGCTTGTGGCCTTTGCACATTTCTGGGCGGGTGGTGTTTCCCTGGGCCTGGGGGCCCGCTGTCTCCTCTCCTGGGCCCTCTTCGGCAGGGGTGAGGCTCCTGCTGCTTCCCCTGCCAGCTATCTCACAGTGGGGGCATTTGGGAGTCTCTGGGGCGCATGGCCTGCGTTGTCAGGGTATGTTTTGGTGCTCCTCCTTGTGGGTGCTTGACTTGGGGGGCTGGGCCCCCGTCCAGGGATGATATCGGCCTCGGGGGCTGCTGGCACTGCCTGCACTCTGGGGAGGGATGCCTCTGGCTGGGCTGGGGGACCGTTGGCCTGGTTCTCCCGCGTTATCGCTCCCTGGCGGCAGGGAGCTTCCCGGCACGGCTTTCTGCTGTTCTTCCTTGGGGCGGGGTACAGCTTCCCCCGGGACATGCGGTCTGGGGTCCTTTGTGCTTTGGGGGGTCGCAGGGTGCCCTGGCTTCTGGGGGTGGGGGTCTCTGCGCGGGTTGATCCGATTGCAGCTTGGTGGGCTGCGGTGGGATTGTGGGGTGATTGTTGTGCTTTTTCCCTGGGCAGGGTCTCTGAATGGCTGCTGGGCGTTTAGTTTGTGCATTGGAGTCCGGGGGAGTCATTTCCTTGTTGGCTTGGAGGGACAAGTTTGCGTCCCTGTTTTGCTTCGTTGGCCTCGGATCCGTGCTTCCCCATTTCTCTGTCGGCCAGTTGTTGGACCCCTCTGGATACTGAGGTAT